AATGTTGCTCACAATCTTCTGAACATCCAAAAAAGTAACTTTTAGCTGCCCTAGACGATCTTTGGTAAAATACCTATAAATACCTATTATTCCCTCTGATTTCGAAATAGGTATAGGTATTTATGTATATTTATGAGATTGACGCCCCCCCCCCCCCAAATAGAGACACTGGCAGCGGTCCACTCTACCCAATTGTGGGTTTTGGTCAAATATCATCTCGTTTTGAATAATGTAAGGGTCCTTGACAAAATCAAAATGATAAACTAATAACTTAATTAATAAGGAGGTAATTTCAACGATTTCGAAATTGTACCTTTGAAAACATTTCTTTGTGTTTAGGTAAGCATATCTGTCCATCACTGACCCAAAATACCACTTTATCCTCATTCAAGTTGGCATTTAATTCATATATAATGCCATTCTGTCGTGGGAAAGCAGAATCTAATCGAAATCACGAAACATACGAGCAAAATTCTCATCTTTCAATTTCGCACGTGCAAACTTTGAGCGAACGTTACGTGTACATCCAATATTGAATCACCGTAAATTTTTTTCATATTGGTATTTTATGTTTGATAAGCATGCAAAGTTTCAAAAGATTTCAAAACGAACTTGCATCACAACGGGACTCCAAAGTTGATAAAAGGTGATATTAGCAATTTTCCATCAATTTGGGCATGTCCCCACGCGTGCAACCTCACATCCAAAAAGTTAAAATTTCCTCGCAGATACAAGTTTTCTGTTTTCTTTGGCCCGAATTGCGCTCGTGAATTTTCCACTTACGCAATGTCGGCAAGTGAAGCAGGACAGTTCTTAAGCATTTGGAGCTTGGCCCCAGAAATTATTTTGCGTTTTTGCTTGGCCACATTAAAATCTACAATAACAAAATATCTGAAGCCCTTCAAAATAGTGTGTTACAAAATGGCCGCAGGCAAAAATTATCACACAGATGGCATAGAAGCAATTTGGCAGTAGAGATCATTTTCAATCACAGTTTCAAAAACGATTCAAAGAACTGTTAGTTTTTTCCTCTTTCATTTGTCAACAATTTTGAATTATTTTTTGAAAATTTCCTTTTCACCAATAATACAACAAACAAATTCGTATCAACATTTTTCAAATTGAGATCGTAAACTTTTAAAATTTCCTCTTTGGCACCAAAAATTTCCTCCGAAATCGAAAATTTCCTTGCAGATTATCTGCCAATCTGCAATGGTTTCTGGCTATGGGCGTGCAACTTTTTGATTTTAAAATTTTAAACTTTTAAACTAGCCTAATACAAAATATAGACCTATAGGAAGGAGAACTGAGCTCCACAACCCAAGGGATGGCCCAACACCAGAGATTACTAAATTATCACAAAATGTTAAATGGGTGTTTTATAAAATTATTCTTCAAAAAATCACAACTATACCTTCAACAGCAAATATCTTTTCGAAGGAGCAAACTAATACTTTCCGGTAGATCCGCAGTAGTCCCATTACCTTAGTATTGCTGTACAACTACTACAGAAGCCTCAAATGTTGAATTAAATTACTCCTTAATGCTCTTTAAATGTTTTGAACTTAAAATATGCCTGCTGAACGACTTTGGATGAGTCTTAATGCCTGGAAAAACTGTAAAGGGGGTATAATAATATAGGGGGTAAATAATATAGTGAGTATAATGGCAACGGCCATGCTTGCCAGCACATATTCTTAAACAAAATTTTAATTCTGCCATATAACTTATTGGTACTCATCAAAGTTTAAATAATAGAGCATGTCACAATTTTTTCTACATGTGAGGGAACAATTTTTAACCTGAATTCAACATCAGGGATCTTCCTTCTTTAAGCTTTTGAGGAACGGTTAGCCTCATATCGAAAGAGCTACGTCAATTATACCCTAATCAACCGAAAACGTGTTGGAAAGTTGGAAATTGGAATCTAGGCGAGCCAAATCGTTTATAATTTTAGCCGTTCGAAATTTTAGTAAAAGTATGACCGGCGAAAAAAGTATGTCTCGCCGAAGACCTTTAAACTGTTAATAATAATTGGCAGACTTTGCAGACTGCAGAGGTCGAAAGTATTTACTGTTGAGGTAGATCTGGATGTTTAAATTTATGAATAGAAAATTGCGGTGCAAGTACTAAAGTTCGTCTTCAGGAAAATTCTCTCGAAATTCTGATTTTTTGATTAATCACCCTCAAACTTTCAGGATATGTTCTTAGGATCAATTAGAAGCGGACCCTAGAGCCAGAATTTTGAGATAGGCCTTTAAAGATTTTTAATTTGATTTTTAAAATCTTGGACCTCGTTTTTTGTCGATTTAAAAAAAAATTTTGGTTTTATTAAAGCTGTACAATTAAAAATACTAGTATTAAATACGGTCTATAATCGGTAAATACCCCTAAATGGTTTCTGTTTTACCTCGCACCGCCACGAATAATCTTGCAACATTTTTGATATTGCCCCGTGAGTCCACCTTTTAAAATAAATATCAAAATCTTTTTGAATTACTGTAACTCATGGCCACTCTGCAGTACACTGTAACTCATGGCCGCCCTATACACTGTAAGGTCATGGCAAATAAAATTGAGCTATTTCAAAGAATATGTATGATTCCCTTTTAGTTCTTGTATTTTGTCTTAATATCCTACGGTAGGTCAATATCCTACGGTACGTAATTCCTCCGTGATTTATCCCTATTTATAAGCCAGACGTAAAATCAACGGACGAACATCATTATTGTAAACTAAAGTTGCGCTGTTTATTTTCCATTATATATAGACCTTTTAACCTGAGAAACTATAAATTTATGATATTACGCAATTGTTTTCAATGCTGTTAAATTCGCACTAAACGTATTATTCGAATAAAATTCGCATACGAATTTTTCTCTGAAAATTGCCGCATTTAAAAAAAATATACAAATACAAAATACGGGAACAGGAAATTACGTGCCCGCATCAAAATGTTCACGATAGTTGCGGCTTTGTATGGTGGAATATTACTAAAACTTCCCGCAACACGTACGTGGTTAAGTTACTGGTTAGTGACTAGCGTGGGTACTGACCAAGATCGAAAGGGGTTAAATTTAGCTCATACCCGAAGATCTTATGGAGTAAACTAACTTCTCTTAATAAACTTGAAATCACTTAATTTCCTCCACAGTCTAGTCTATTTTTCGAGATTTGTAAGTTTGAGATTCGAAGTATAACGTCACAATTCACATATCCAACTAGATTATAGACTCGAGAAGGCTGCGCGTTCCCACAGCCGCATTTTAACCGAATTTTCCGCGCATTTTTTGGCGAATTTAACAGCCCTAAAAATTAAAATTCTTGAAGTTGTAAATTGGCGAATTATTCGCGTATTTTTTGAGGACTCTAAATACGCCGTACTTTTTGACGAAAATTTGGCGAATTTAACAGCCTGGATTGTTTTAACTTAAAACAAGGGTTTGCATTATCGGTCCAATACTCCAATAATTTGTATCGCCGATAACCGATAATAATTTTTATCGCCGATAACCGATAATAATTTTGAAATTATCGGCGATAACGATAATTATCGGCGATAAAATTGGGTCATAACAATGAGCTAAGTTTCTGTTGATTTGCATGACTGACATAATCAATTACACTTTCGTCACCTTTGTGAATGAGGATTACGGAAGTCCTGAGTTACTGTTACCTGAATTGTAAACACGTAATTTGAAATTCCACAACCGCATCGTAAATTTATTAAGAAAGCATTTGCTAGACATTTCAGCCTGAGTCTTCTTTTCTATGTACGGTACGATCAGGGGTTGACTTTTTGGTCGTTTGACCTGGGGGGATGTGGACGAGTTAGCACTTATAGTAATAAGTTAAAGGCTAAATTCTAGAGTTAAACTAAATGCAGATACTGCCTGATGGGAAAAGGAAGTAAGATAATGTGAAAGCATAAAAGCAGTGGATTACACGTGTAATAGTCAAAGTAGCTCAGCAGTAGGAACGGTGATGTCACTATATTAATTATGAACAATGTAAGCTCAATAATATTCATGTCATATATTATGCTCTAGTGAAATTTTTGTCTGCTTTTAAATCAGTCGCCGAACAATTTAGTCTCAATAAATTTGGTTAACAACAATGTTAGTCAAAATTTTGGTAATTTTGTAATCTAGCTAGGCACACTTGGGGCACAAAATTGAATTTCCTGGGGCACACTTAGGGCAAATGCAGTTGGAGCACACTTGGGGCACAGTCGAGGCCCCAAGTAACGTTTTGCCCCAAGTGTGCCCCAAGCGTGTTTAGTTTACTTAAACTGTACTTCGAGTCATTTTTTTGCCGAGAATGTGCCCCAAGTTTGCCCCAAGTGTGCCCCAGCTGTGCCCCAACTATATTTGCCCCGACTATGCCCCAGTGAGCCTCAAGTAACTCAGGTGTGCCTCAGGTGTGCCCTAAGTGTGCCCCAAGTGTGCCTAGCTTGATTACCAAATTGCCAAAATTTTGACTTAATTTATGATAGACTAAATTTGTTATACAAAGATAAAACAACAAGAGACAATTAAAAATATCACAAAAGAACAAATAATAATAAATCAAAACAAATATAAATATAACATTACATATAAAAATTTAGGTAAAAAATAGACTCAACCCTTTTTTGTTTTCTGAAGAGACCGAGATTGGATGTTTGCTTTTAAAAGAGATTATTCATTTTTCAAATTTACACACCAATTAAGCAGCTTGTAAATGGTTTGAGCACATCTTGTTTTAGACAAGAGGCGAAATTTCGAAAATATTCAAATCAACAAATTTGCCTTTTATTTTAATCCCGTACATATTGTCAAAGTTAGGAGAAAAATGCGCTGCTTCGCAACCCTTACAATTTTCTGACTGTTGATTAATTGTTCAAATATAGAAATAAATGAATTCGAAATTCTCACAAATTTTCACAAAAGAGTTATTTGTTTTTTACAGTGATTACCACAATTCACAATAATTTACAAATACTACATATTACATTTTAGGTACCTGCCTGGTGCACCTCAATCAAAACATCCCCCGACTCTCAACAAGACTCAACGAGTCCCAAAAGATCTGCTCAGAATGCGGCCGGTATTTTTGACACAAACAGAAACATACCATACAGTAAACTAGCTAACACGCCATCCTCCTATCGAGTTAAAAGACAATCAAATGACTGTGACCAACCTTCAAGTTTTTTTGATGAGCTGCCCGAATTCAAAAAGCTTAAGAGTAGTCAGCATTGTGACTCGAATGCTTCTTCGTCAAAGTTTGGAAACATTGCAACACCAGGGTATGTAAATGGTCAGATATTCAAGCGGGGTGATGATACCATTGAATTTGATGACGGAAAATCTGGCGACACAGGAGATGAAATGTACAGTTCCCTTTCCTCCTCAGCCCCAAAGACTCTTTCAATTCATAAAAATCAAACCAGCTCCCCAAAGAATATAAACAGCTTACCAAAACCAGTTTTTTCAAATTCGACAAACCGAGGACCAAGAAAAGAACGTCATATTTGGAGTTCTGAAAGTACTGCGGACGAAAATCTAAGCTCACTTTTGGCTGCACCACAATCAGACGCCAACCTTAACAAGAGTGTTTGTGGAGAAGCATCAAAAATTACACGCTCTCAGAGGCATACTTCAAAACCTAGCAATGCAGATAATATGTCCTTACCCTCCTATGGAATATTTGACGAAACAAGAAACACGTTTCCCTCTGGTTTTCGTTTTACCAACTACTCGACACCTGCACATCCTGATGCATTGCAAGACTCCTCATTTCTTGCATCACAGAGGGTGTCGCAGGGCATGATGGACAAACGCTTCCGCAACTCTTGGTTATCCATGAAGGACACCCCTCTGGTGTCGAAACCAAAACTTGGTGATCCAAAGAGGGGACATATGTTTTATGAAATGGATGAGACTCGTGATTTGTTTTCTGGGGAGATTTCCATAAATAAGATTGATACGAGTCTATCACCAAATATTGAATCTGCGTCAAAGCGATCTATTGTAAACGAAACCGTTCTGCTAGACAAAACCTTTTCATGTGGTCAGAAGATTCCTTCCTCTATTAACTTCTATCAAGAAGATTTAATCGAAACAAACATTCAATCTGGATTAGATTATTCTGTCAAACTAGAAGATATTCACGATTGCTCGGTTCCTAATTTATTGCCAGTTAAAAGACCAAACGATGAGAAACCTTTCAATACGGAAACTAGAGAAACTTCCATCCAGACAGAACGAACAAAGGATGGTCTCGTTGGTACTCAAACTTTCAAATCTATATGTTATTCACTTGTAGATCATCCATACTCCAAAGCAACAGTTCATTTAAAAATTGTACTATCTGCTATAAGAAATCTAGTGTCATTGGACATTGAACCAGCGAAATTTGAGGTTGAAACTCAAACTGTTGATGTTTCGATTTCGGACAAGTCACCTGGTGAAAAATCAAGCACGCAGCACTCCGAGTCTCCTTCACAAAAGGACCACGATATGGACGAAATAGTTCACTTCGGAGAGACAGACTTTAGCTCTGAGTTAGAAGTAGTAGATAGTACACCTACAGCCTGTTCGCCTTCTTACAGTGACAGCATAACTGCTGACGATTGTGTCGAACAACATGATGTGGAAGAATTAATGAGCAATGTTGATCAAATTGTGTTTTCCACAACAGATTTTGAAGATTGTGTCACCGATATTTTGTCCCAAGAACCTGTTCGTGTCCCCTCTGAAAACGAAAATGATGATCTTGGTGAAAATGAAAACTTAATCTTGACTGAAATGTCTGGTAAATATGTTGATAAACTGAAATGTGAGAAATCTAGTCAAGATTCTTTAAATACGCCTTTGGAAGCCTCGACAGCAGTGGGGAAAACTTCACCAAACCCTCCTTCTCCGAAAATTAAACCGAGACCAATAATGTGGCCTGATGAGGAGATGTTTTTCGTTAAGCTTCCTGATATAATACATCAACCATCTAATCATGAATCAGATAGGATTGACCAGTCTCTTGGCAGCCATTTGAAGTTAGGCAATGATAAGGAGAATGTGTTCACCAAATCCGTTGAACCAGAAAACATTGTCTTGAAAATAACGAACTCGAAACCTGTGAAAAGATCATCTCCAAAAAGAAAGTTTGTCCCGTTTTTTACTTCTCAGACTGTAAAGAAATCCGTACCAAAAGGTACAGAGGAGGACCCTATCAAGCTAAGTCCAGAAATAAAATTCGTTGGATCTGATAAACCGAATGTTTCGAAGAAATCACCCTTTATGATTGTCGGTAAAAAGTCAACCTCTAAGGCAAAAAGCACAGATGGAAGCACTTCCTGCACTGAGATTATTCAGCTCGATGGAAATATTTCAGTTGCTTCAGAATTGAGCATGGATGAAAATCGACAAGAGTTGAGTGAACTAAATAAGAAGTGCTTTTCTTCTGAAAGTGCTGAACCATTCATGATATCAGAGTCGACACCCAATATTATTATGTCTACGGTTCAAGAAAAAATTGAATATTGTAAATCGCTCCCAAAACATGATATCAACGGACATTCTGAACCCGGACTGCCCTCAAATGACAACCAAAGTTCGAATAACATTCAACCTAAGAGAACTCAATCCATTTATTACTCGCAACAACTGCTGTCTACTAATCAGAGGCCTATCGTGATGTTCTCGTCACAACCAATTAGCAAACTTGCTGAAATCTACGCTTCAAAATAAGCTTTTCTTAGTATCTGATGAATAATGAATTATTGTACCTCCACGACCCACGTGCCTGTTAGATATACTATGTTAAACGTGACTCAGGTGTGTTAACCGTAAAGTTAAGATTTATTTTATGGTGATTTTCATCTTACAATAATTGTTATGGTTTTTGAGTGGTTCAGAATTGAGATGGCATGCAAATCGCATCACTGTTATTTAAATTATTGTATGTCAGTCACTGAGAAGTAGGCTAAGAGTATGCAATTGTTACACGTTGAATGATTGCAGTCCAACTCAAATCCTGGTACCGCTCGATAAAGCTGCATGAGCTCTCTAGCTGCTGTCATGTGACATTTTCAGTCACGTGCTCTGCGTCACTAGCCAATCAACTTGCTGATTTATGCCGTCATGTGATTTATCTGCCAGTCAATTGGAGTTTTATCAGAGTTTTATCAGATATATTTGTACAAAGGTTCTAAAACTGTATCGGATGTAAATCATATGGGCTAATGTTTTTGTTAACCTAATGTAAAGCTCGTCAACTGTTTACCCGACCGTGTTTGTTTTGACAGTTCATTGGTTTCGGCATTACATTGGCCGCTAATTAGTCGGTATAAGACCATCAACTGCCAAGTAGTAACTCTCTCTCTCTCTCATTCGTGAGAGAGCTCGCTAAATAGAAACGCGCGATAGCACTCTCCTGCTCTCTGATTGGAGGATCACTCTGTGACGTCACACCTACTCTCTCTCTCTACTCTATCATTCAAGTAAAACATATCAATAATATAAACTTGTTCGTTGTACCTTGTTGTGTTTGCTGGATATTTTGCACTGCACTTCCGTCATGACGTCATCATTGGTTCTGGGACCGGGACCTAAACCCCTGCCTGCTAAGAAGTGAGTATATTTGATATGGTGTGTGGCTCCCTCCATCAGCTGCACTCCGTCTCCAAAATGAACAATTGGTATGAAAATCACGTCGCATTAATGGGTGTCGGCCTTTGGGAACATGTCTTGTTATATCTTGCATCTAAGCTTGTTTTATGCAAATTATCGATCAACCGAATCAAGTTCTCGACGCTCAGTCACGTTCTGACGTTAGTTTAAAACTGTTTGTCCAACGTAGATCGGATATGGAGTTCGTGCAGCTCTGTCAGGCGGACACTTATTGCATTTTATGAAGTTTATCATGCTTTCTCGCTAGCTCGTGAAAAATTCGGTGCACGCTTTGGAAGCGTGAGTGACTGTAAAATAGAACATCTACCTTGGTACAAGTTACATACAGGGAAGACTTTGTTCCCCAAAACACATTAGACAGCAACATTCTATATTTCTTGGCACTCGTATCGCTCCCTGAGTCTTCACTTGCTTCCACCGACATCAGATTTTGAATACAGTCTTCAGTTCGGCGGACTCGTTGTTTTATCATGCTGATTTTAACTCTAAAGATCGTTTTTAGTTGAACGAAGATGGAACCGCTAGGTTGTCGGGAAAAATCTCCTTAATTTTGGAGTCTTATTCTCCTTTCGTTTAGATTCAGTTAGCGGATTTTTTGCTCTGCCTGTTCTAGATACCTGAGTGGTGCTACGTGCAGACGATTATCTTTCTTGTGTTTTCATCCGTTCGGTTGCCTGGGTATCTCTGTTTCTTTACCAGCTGAAAGTCAAGATGAAGATTTAGATTTGTAACGTTCATTATTACCTCTTGGGTAGTTCTAAAGTCTGTCTTGCTTCAAGACTTGAAGCAAATATTTCGTCCTAAAAGTAAAATTCAACTGAAAGTATAAATCAGCTGACGTCTGATAAATAGAGCACAAGGTTTATCTATAGCCACGTAGCTAGGATTCTTGGGCAGGGAAGAATAACCGTGGGCACTGATTTCTTGCTATTTCTTGCTAAAGTTGGCCCGGGGCTAATAGACGTAATTTTAGCAATACAAAACCACAAAACAGCAAAAAATGACTGCGCATAACTTAGGTCTTTAGACACGTATCATAGCATTCAGAGATTTGATAAAGCTCAGCTTCCGCGAAGAAAAATGGTAGATATACAGCAGAACTGGAATATTTCAAATTTTTCAAATACTGGCGAAGGCTCGGGGCAGGCGAAGTCGTCTCTTTGCTACGTGGGTGGTTTTAAGTCGACTTTATTGTTTCCAAAAGTGTAACAAAAATTGAAAAAAAATTTGTAAGATTTTTAAATTTTAATTTCAGTGGTCAACCGTAAATATTTGGATGTCTGGAAGCACCACTGTCTGAAAGCTTTCTGTTTCTATAATAGAAAGACATCACTATGAGCTTTATTGTCGTCAGTTTTTGATATCAAGGGTATTGGACAATTAAATATTTCTCTCGTTCATTTTTGCTTTTTAACAAAGACCACTTTTGAGTTACCTAGCCCGCCCTGTTAGTTCATAACTGTAACTGCAAACCGTTTCAGACGTAAAGGAGCAACTTAGATTGTCTATCATCATATTTTCTTGCTCTCAAAAATCACTGGCTCCCCATTCCATTTCTCATGGTTGCGTTTCTATATTCTTGGAATGATTTTGCTTCACTGTACCTTTTTTTGGCATAATTATCTTCAAGGTGCTAACACTGCGTATGTCTGAAGATAGTCGTAAAGTCTAAACTGTTTTCATCTAAAATTTCATTTTAACCATTTAATTGACGAAATTAAACAGCCACCACGAAGGTTGTAAATATCTCCCAACTTTTTTAATACTGAGGCCAAATGGCTCTCATAGTTATTGGCAATCGTATCGTCCAAAACAGAGCCATACATCCTATTTGTTGCCAGGCTTTTTTCTGGAATCGTCTGGCCTAATCATCAGCTGTTTGCTTATCGAATAATACTTTGCAGCAACTTGTTAAACGATCGAATATTAGATTTTACATTTGTAGAACATCGCACACGGCTCTAGTCATTCTTCTTTCCCCGCGAGTAGTACTCAATATTGTGTCAGTGGGGATGGCAATTTGTGGCCCCATCTCGTCGCTACTTGACCTCTATTTCCGGCTAGAGGTCCTCTCCCCACTCTTATCTCGCTGCAGAGTGTGCTTGTACCTACCATGCACCTTGTAACCATGTACTACCCCGTTCCAACCATGCAGCCCCTACTTGCGGGGTGCGAGGTAGCTGTGCCCTTTCACATTCCCATTATCCGCTATGACCTGTGTTAGTTAGGACAACTTATTGACGGTGTCATCCAGCAAATGGGAGGTAATTGGATCACCTCTACTTCGCACTCATCTCCAGGTCACCAGTCTACCGACAATTCATTAACTACAGATAGAATTGCTGGCACCCTCATATCAGCTATAATCACCCAGTCAAACACCTATCAATACACTCTCCACAAATCACATACCTTCTCGAACACGTGGTGTTCTCAACCTTAACAAGATACAATTCGTTAGATACTTGATTCTTGTACCAGTCCTTCGTCTCCAAGTAGAGAACTAAAATCCGCGGCTCCGGTATTCCGCTGTCTTCTCTTTGACCAAATCCTTGTTCAAGGCTTAGTGCCAGGCTGAGGGTAGTTGTTCTAGGTTCGGAATCTACCTCTTTTGTTCCGCAAACAAGAGCTCCTGATATAGCTCAATGTCGTGAGTTTTGATAAGTAAACGTTTAATGTGAAATCGTTTGAAGTGATTGTAAATGAGACCGTTAGGATTTAGAAAGCTGGATCTGTAATGAGGTTTGAACTGTTTCTGATATTTAAATGGGAGTGGTTGTGATTTGAATCTTGTCAATTTGTAAATACCTCATCAAACTGTGAAATGGACTGACTGGAACCAAATCTTTTCTGATCATATAATAGATTTTCAGATTTTCTCCTAAACTTTCTTAAATGATCATTGATCTCCTTGGCCTTTATCATTTGACAGAGTTCATGGGCAATTCACGGCATTTTTCTATTCAGACATTTGACTGAACTAAAAACTAAATTTAGTAATCTTTTGACTGCCACTGTAAAATAATCGTCCAATGACGAATATTATCGAATAGCTCATTTCTACTATTAAACATTAAGATTGAGCGATAGACGGGCTATTATTTTAGCAGGGAATTAATCAATACGGTAGAGAGATGAATTAATCCCACCTCCATACACCCTCTTTTAATAGCGACAAAACTCAACGTCGCGAAACGGCGACATCTCCCCCCTGCGAGCGCCGTCACCTGACACACCTCCTCCAATCAGATCAGAGTGACTTGTCAGAATCTAGAGCACGTGACCCCCGAGTAGTGCCCAAATAAGGACAAGTTGCAACAATGCGTCTTATAATAGTTCGCATTCATTCCCGCTAATACCCGACCAGTGGTCGAGTCATGCCCAGGAGAGTGAAAATTCGGAGCGAGGTCATGGAGAGAAGCTGTTAGAGTAACAGTGGTGACCTAGAAACCAATGGTGGAAGGTTAACTAGGTCACGTGGTTTATCGTTGCCGAGTGTTCTGTGCTCAGACATATGTATGTATCTGTTGGCATGGCAGTGGGTTCTTTAAAATGTGTTTTAAAATCCATGCTAAAATGTTTCCTTCTTTGTTTTGGGGTGGCTCAAAGTATTTGGGTGTGGTGGATTGAAAATCGATCACAAGTAAGCTGTTGAAGGAGGGTGAAACCCTTGGGCCGGATGGAAGATTTCTTCATGGTCGTGGTTGGCTTTAAGTGGCACCTATCTATCATTATTGGCACCCACTCTGTCAACCTTTATCTACATGAAAAATGTAGGACCCTCAAGACAGCGGAATCTGTCAATTTCTTGATATAAACGAAATATGGTCCAATGCATGGTCCTGCACTGAAAACATTGACCAATGAGCTGATTAGTTTCAGCCCACGTGCTAATCTCTGAATGTATCGGTTATTTTTCTTACTTTCAAGCAGCGATAAACCGTTCTAGGCTTAGACACTTAAAAAGCGTTTATCCAATCATTCAAAATTGTAACATGTAAGGCTCGAATAAGAATGTACGCATCTCACATGACTACAACCCCCTCATCTGATTGGCCTAGCACGAATTATATTTTCCACATCTCATTTCAAAAGCAAGCCGCCATAGTACTGCGTTTACGCAAGACAATTACATTTCACTTATCCGATTAGGAGGAGGGTAATTAGGACCGGAGTTAGAGGGAGGATGATTGTTCGGGTGAGAGGAGTAGTTGTAACAATATTTCGTTACAATGTAGCAACTTTGCCCAGGTGAGGGTTCTGGGGGTGCCAGGAGCTGACATAACTGGTGCGAATAGATCAGGCCGGATGCTCCCCTTGTTGCTGTCTAGAATAGACGTGACATTGGCGTATTTTATGTTTTTTTCTTTATGTTTCTTGAAATGCGGGGCGTTGATTCTTCGCTAAGATATTCGAAGTTTTTAAGACTATCCGCGGGAATTGCCTCTATTTTCACGTATACCAGCTAAGCCCATGAAAGGAGAGGCCTCCAATATCATTATAAGATTATAACATGAATCCTGCATCACGTGCAACCGCGATTGTACACAGCTTTTTAAATTACACTTGACTATCCGGAAAGCTGTGTTATGTAACAAGTATGCTGCATCATAACAGGCAGGATTGCAACAATGTAGCTATATTTCAGTACCTTCCCAGGCCTTGGTACGGGAAATAATCTTTGTGAGCTCGCCCGCACGCCAATCAGCGGGTTCAAATGTGGTCACGTGACAGATATCCGCCAATGGGGGAGCAGAGAGTATTCTTGCCTGCGCGAGCATAGCCAATAATTCGTTCCGAGATGGCAGATATATTTCGGTTGAACATATTTATGTTTCATGAAACTTATGAAATTAGGGATGTTTTGGTGGAAGGATCTGGTTGGAGCGGTCCCAAACCTAGCGAGACCGTGGATTAGGATACTGGTGAGTTCGTAACACCAAGTCTAAATAGCAGATCTCTTTTTCCCTAAAACTTTTAATAAGCCTATAATTAAGGAGACCACTTACCCTGTCTCCTTGACACTTTAATGAGATTTTTTTAATTGTACATATTTGTAGCAATAAAACACATTGTAGTGGAACAAAGTAAGTGTAATTAACTCCGTTGAATTCGCATCAAGAGGTATCCTGACAACTGGGGCACTGGTTCGGCCCTGGCCTAACTTTGGGGCCATCTTTATTAACCTCGTCTTTGTCCTCACCACGTTCCAAAATTTAAAATCCTGTTCTCATACTATTACCAGTGCTTAAAACATATCCTCGTCTTGTTCATTACTTGCCCATTAAAAGTGGATGGCCCCAATTGTATTTGTCAGGATACCTCTAAAGATGATCATGTAGTTGCTCAAGAAAATGGCATCTAACTTCTGTTGTCCAAAATTGAAAGATAGCACATTAAATATTTTCATTTTCATATTTACGCATCTATCAAAACCTGGTTCCCCTGTATCAAACATATATTACTTACTCTCTTATACATGTTTTCTACAGAAAATATGACAACATACAGTGCTTTGTGTCATTTAAGTGTGTCTATAGTAGGGCATCCTAATATTCTAACCACCCTCTCTCCCTGTCAGGAAGAAGTCGTCTTGTGTAGCCCGGGAGAGGAGAACTCAGATAAACCAGACACTCTGTGAGCTGGGGGCTCTGCTCTGTCCGGATCAGGATAGACTTGATAAACTAACAGTTGTTAGACTTGCTGCTGCTACAATCAAACTCCATGCTTTTCTGAAAGGTTTGTCTTCAGCTCTATTCATCTTGCATCCACGTGATATTGAGAGGTAGTAAAACTAGCGGGCTGCGATGAATGGGGACTTACTACCTCATGGCAACATTAAATAAATTGGGTCTGTTGCATAAAAGTCCGTAACATAAAAGGAACTGAGATCTGGCAATATTACACCTCAGATAAATGAAAAGTTATGATAAAGTATTATATAACTAGACACATGCAAATGTAAAATAGTATATAATGTACTTTTATCAAATCCAGTAGATCTTTTAAATGCCATAGGAAGCAAAATTACCATTTTTATAACATCTTTCTTTTAAATTTTCTGATATTTGCTGATCAGAATCACTTTTGAGGAAAATTTGTGAGCATGATGATCAGGAACTAAGAACGTAAGATCATTCAGTGACACCCAACAATAATTCACGGCCGCAATAAAAATTTGCCACCAATGTTGCAGTATTTCCTTATGATCTTATTTTTCCAAAACAGTAAGAATTACATCAGGGCTTAACCTCATCATCAGAGCTAAACCTCGTTTTAGACCCGTATTACATCAGGGTTAAACCTCGTTTTAGCCTCAGTTGACCGTTAAGTCTGTCAGACAGTGCTAAGTGACTAAGTGACCTCACTCTGTCAACCGAATGCTCGTCAAAGCAATCTATTCTCCGACCTAATAATGTTTTTATCAGTTTTTATGGAGCCACGGATCTTTTACCGACTAACCCAATCAATGATGGGTTTCCTATTATCGTCAATCAATAGCCACCCAATACCAAAATAAAGACCCTAATTGGGTCGTATTCCTGGTCACTATGATATCAACTGCCCAACCCTTAGACCGTCAGAGTTTAATCAGAGAGCGAGCTGGTTGTTGGGTCTACCCTCACTGTGCGCGCTCTATCACACGCCTCACAACCTTCGAGGAGTCGTGATTTTCTCCTGCTTCTTCCATTAGCCCGGACATCGCATCTGCTCCCCACTCGGTGACATCCACCAATCCACTGCGAGTGTGGCGGTCAGGGACCAATCAGAGACCAGATACGGGTCAGGCGAGAGGTCCGGACTGGAAAGGCTAATCTCATATATTCAGCGTTCTGCAGTAACTTGAAACAATAGAATAAACTAAGGGGAAATTAGCTGTTCAGATGGGTTTGTCGATCATGACGGATCCAGAAGAGTATTTAAACAGTCTGCATGATGGGCATATCCCTTTAATTTGAAACATTTAATTGAACAGTTTTGGGGGCCGACAAAAACTACAAAGGTGGGTCACTGCGTCAACCTAAGAATTCAAAAGTTTGGAGAGTTTCCTAAAATAGAAAGTACGTGTTGGGTTCTAGCTACGTATCGTGAATTTGTGACTTTTAATTCCTTTACACAAGTTACAAATACAAAGTTTGTGATGGATTAGGTAATCCCTGGTTGCTCCGATTGTAACAATTTGAAATAATGCTTGGTGTCCAAGCCTGATAATTCGGATTGACTTCAGAACTACTTGAATCTTTCTAGGCTAAACAACTTTTAAAATACTATCCAAAAACCCGAAATAGATAGCAACAAATATATCCAACAGTTTTTACTAAGATCAGACGACAACTAGATTTATAAACTAGGATTATGGGTTACCTTACATATTTAAATGGTACTAAAGGTGGTGGTTTTTCGAAAAAAACACCATATTTTGGGGATACATAAATTAAGGTCTGAACCGGGGGGGGGGGGGGGTGCAGGTACTTTTTTGATGGAACATAACCCTAAAAGTACCCGAGGGGTGGGTGGGTGTTTATTGAAATTTTCGAAAAGTATCATGGTACTTTTTTTGTCCCAAAAAAAAGAATGGGTACCCCAAAACATGATTATAAAAGTACATGGTACTTTTTCATTACCAAAATGTTAGAATTGGGTTTTTCTGAAATTATACCTAGCTTGTTGTAGATCTAATTGGGTTTTTCTGAAATTCCCGAAATTATACCTAGCTTGTTGTAGATCTAATTGGGTTTTTCTGAAATTATACCTAGCTTGTTGTAGATCTAATTGGGGTTTTCTGAAATTATACCTAGCTCGGTGTAGATCTAATTGGGTTTTTCTGAAATTATACCTAGCTTGTTGTAGATCTAATTGGGTTTTTCTGAAATTATACCTAGCTCGGTGTAGATCTAATTGGGTTTTTCTGAAATGATACCTTCCCCCTTTAGATATAATTGCAATTTCTGTAGCGGAAAACCTTAAAAAACCTTAAATTTGCACTTTATTGCATTACGTTTGTCCAAACTTTTGCACTGTGGACCTTAAAAAACCTTGAATTTAACTGTTTTGGACCTTAAAAATGGGTCAAAAGGGGCCTTAAAAGATGTGAAAAAACCTTAAAAATGACTCTCAAAAATGCCGGCAACCCTGCTCACAAGTCACATCGAGGTGTCAGAACATCTTCAGTTTAGGAAAACTGATAAACAGGAATTTTTTGAAAAAAAAGGAGGGGGTGGGGGGTCATTCGGTAAAATTTCGAAAAGTACCGTAGTACTTTTTTGTTATTCCATTCGTGAAGGAGGTGGGTGGGTGGTTTTTTTCAGAAATTTCGAAAAGTCAGCATATGTTCCATCAAAAAAGTACCTGCACCCTGTAAAATAAGGAGATGAAAAAATCCCCAAATACCATGATTTAATTTGGGGTACGAAATGTGGCGGTTTTCGGTAAAAATTCCCATATTTTCGTTCCCAAATCACTAAGGTCACCATAATTATGTTGAACATAATTATGTCTCGTAAGGTATGTAGAATCATTGATCGTAAATTTAGAGGACAAGTTATCTCGCTGCTCAAACTATGAAAGTACAACTCCAGGCTGGTTTAATTCTAGCCTGGATCCAACCTGGTCAATATCAAAAGAAATGATCTCGCGCAGGTTATTTTAATTTCAACTGAAAAATTTAAAAAACTGTTTCATATAACTCTTATTATATTCTTGTTCGTTACAATGTTTGATAAATATTAGTTTTAAGCGTTGTTAAGTTGTAACATATCCGCAGGGGTAGACCAAAACAGACCCTGTCAGAGGCTGCAACACCAGAGACCCTCCCTTACCAGACGATTTGCTAAGGTAAGGACTACGGACCTCATGTACTAAATAAATGATCACTTGACTTACTTGACTTAAGTCGGCTTCAGCGTCCGAGTATTGATGCGCTGTCTCCATATAACTCTATCCGCCATAAGTCCGCCCATTTCTCCAGTGTCGTTGAGAGCGGTCATACTAATGACGCTCATAGACATAACGGATAATTACTCCGGGAACATTTGCACTATTAATTCATATCGAACTTAATCCTAGATTAATTCCATTAGATTAACCGCCGGATAATCACATAAAATTATATTTTAGATTCTGGACGGATTTGTGATAATCCTAAGTGCGAGTGGTCAAGTTCTCTACGTCTCTGACTCTATCAAGGACTCCCTAGAACACTCGCCCCACAATATAGTTGGAGAGTATATCCACAGTTTGGTTCATCCTGATGATCACGATGAGATAAACCTGAATCTTGTCAAGGAGACTACTCCTGTTCCGGAAAGTTCCTTTAGAAATACAAGCAGTCGGAAACGAAAGTGAGTGTTTTGTAGCATTGGAAATCTTACCATATATAATTATTTTAGTCCCTTGAGTCTTTTCACCACTTTAGGGTTAGACGGGGAGTTGTAAGTAGTGAATTTTAGATAATGCGATTATGTTTAAGTTGATGAAGTTATTCCTATTTTCAGTGATCAATTTAATCACCTCATTATAAATGACGAAACATGTCCAGATGAACATGTTCAAGCGGTAAAAAAGCACTGCGTCTCAAATTATTTTATTTTTAGATGTACCCGAGAGAGTAAAAGTAGCAGTACTGTTTACCACAAATCGGAGAAGATTCCAGGGGGTTCAACCCCCAGCACCTGTGATATTGATATCGAGATGGGGGGTACACCACATCTTCCCATCGGATATGATGATCTAAACTCTCCTGATCCCAACGCTTCGCTTAGAGGTACAATTTTTTCTGTGCCACTATCAAATTACTGTAAAAGATTAATGACTAGATGAAGTAAAATTGCTGATATGAGTGCAATGCTCATCTTTTCATACAAAGAAAGCCTTTAAAACAGAACCACATCTAATGTATGACTTATGTTATGTATATATTAAATATTTGTTATATGCGTATGTGATAATACGTAGTTAGGAGATGAGACTGAGCCTTTGCCTGGTGTGATAAATGGTACTTTATAGATATCATCACATTAGTTTAACACATCCGAAGATGAACAAAAGAATTAAACTACAGATATGTACCTTTTCTTCGCCGTTAACTGATTGGTATAATCTTAACAATGGGTCAAGTTAATAGTCTTTAATATAGTTTGATGTTGATTAGATAAAGGAGCTTTTACGTTGCTTCATTTCAGTTCTTCATCCATTGTCTAAAACACTCAAACGGAGGTTTTTCTGTCGAATGAAGTGTTTGCAGCAGCGAAAATTCAAACGACTCGTAAAAAACTGGGGATACAAGGTAATTTGTGTTGTAATATTTTGTTAATTTGTACTTACTTTTGGAATTGCTTTCTGTCAGTTTAACATTTTTTCAATAGAAGCATAATTGTCATCACATCAACTTCTGAGGACCAAAGCCGCGATTTTTTTCAATCATAACGATGCAATTGATATTATTTTAGTAATATTCTCCAACCTAAACTTCTCTCCCCCCAGACGGTCTACTGCAGCGGATACCAGATGTATGACACTAAAGAGTCGGGTACCCTCTCCTGTAAAGGTTTCATAGGTCATGTCCGACCTCTACAACCCCCTGCTATATTCGAGATTCCCCTGGTGGATGGCTCCTTTATGACTCATCACTCTCTTGATATGAACTACATCTTTACTGATAAGAGGTTAGGCTGCTCTATACATGTTCCACCTAGTGAGCTTGTTACGTACTCTAACTTGCAGATGGTGTACCTAAGATGGTTATTCTGCATCAAGATTACACAATTTGTCCCGCTAGTCCTTAGTCCCACAAGGCGAAATGGATGTTGTAATTGAGCTGGAAAGGTTGCAGAGACCTGAAAATATGTACCTTAGAATTAGAACCCGATAACCGCAAAAGCCACTTTTATATGTACATAATATATTACTGGACTTTAATTCGGGATATGTTGAACAATGTGCCTTTCAGCCTTCGTGGACGATTTCAATTTTGGTATAATTTTGCATTTGAGAACAGTAATTTAAATTTCTTTTAACATTAACATTTTACAAGCATCAAATTATATGTACTACAAAATATTTTGCCAGCATAGAGCATATTAGTAGGCACAATATATAATAATTTTCGTCATATAAGTTTAAATCTGAATTAATGAATAATTAAGTAATTAGCATAATAATGGGCGCAATATTAAGTAAAGTTTACTACAGTTTATTGTTCAATGATTCAAAATAAATGTGTTACAGTTGAACTGAGAAATGAGATATATACCGTGCTTCTCTATATAAAATGGGTAACTAGTTTGGTCTTTATCTTGCCAATTTGGGTAACTAGTTTGGTCTTTATCTTGCCGATTTGGGTAACTAGTTTGGTCTTTATCTTGCCAATTTGGGTAACTAGTTTGGTCTTTATCTTGCCAATTTGAGCGTTAAAATTGTCAAGGTGCGCTTGTAGGTAGAGTGTTATTTTCCATTTTGTGGTTTCAGTAAAATCCAGAAGCACCTGGCACTTAAGCGATAGGGGTTAAAAAACATTTCCTTTCCAACCTGAAATTGAAATTGTGCTGTACATGTGTTATCAATCAACTAAACACTAAAGTTCTAATTCCTCTTATTTGCAGGTTACAAACAGCGCTAGGATACCTTCCTGAAGAGGTTTTGGGGCAGAGTATCTACAACTTTGTTCACAACGATGACCTCGAGAGGCTCTCCAAATTCCACAAAAACTGTGAGTCACTTCACCTCTCAAATCTCAACTTATGCAAATTGTGACTTACAATTTTTCAAGTCACCTTCAAACGTTATTTACAAGCCTTAAAACTAAGCTTACCATCCATTTAATATCATACATTAATTAAATATACATATTATATAATAATATATTATATAATAATATATTATATAATAATATATTATATAATAATATATTATATAATAATATATTATATAATAATATATTATATAATAATATATTATATTATATAATAATATATTATATAATAATATTATATATTACTCAACGTCTCCTCCTCAGTACTGGATAAAGGCGAGTGTATAAGTGGTTACTACAGACTAGCTGCTCACAACAACGCAGGCTGGGTCACTATCCAGAGTCAAGCTAACATAATCTACAACAAGAAGGAACACGTGACCGCCGACTATATAGTCTCCATCAACTACATTATAGGGTGAGTTTAGGACTTACTGTTACACGCCGATTGAGCGCGATTCTGGGGAAACGTGAAATCGGGGTGATTTCCTGGTAAATCGAAACTCACTGTAAATGGAAGTTTGTGGTTTAACGAGGCATGGTTTTACTTTAGGAGGCCGCACATTTGCTTTAATCTGTAGTTTGTATTTATGTATGTAGAAATAGAATGAATTCTTAGAAAGATGGCTTAAAGTTAAAGAGGTATTTAAATGAATGATCCCTACAACTCGATACTCAATTCTCGTCACGAATTAATGGACAAGTACCTCGCATAACCATACTATAGTAGTTCTCTGTTGTTAAATTCAAATACTTTAAGGACTACTTACGTCCTACTTACTGTGCTTACTATGCTTACTGTGCTTACTGTGCTTTCCGGTTGAAATCAATAATTCGTCCGCACAATCTGTAGCCTAATAAGTTTTACTGATGGCTGATGGGCAACACCTTAATCCATTATAAGTGCATACTGATGGGGTTAAGAGGTTTTATATGTTTTAAAGTTTTAAGAGGGTTTTTGAAGACACTTATTAATGGTCCGAAATATAAGCAGCTACGAGTGATTAAATGAACAAGAAGGACTCGTTTATTCTCGGCAGCAGGACTTTAGGACTAAGCTCAAAGGTTTTCATTAGTTTGCCATCTCTAAGTAATTTGAAATGTTTTTGCCGTCTTAACCCAAAAGATTAGGCCATTTTTGTCGGTTTTTACCCTACTTTGACGGCGTGTATCAGTATATTTAAATTAAACCGTTGAATTGTTCTTTTCAATTATATTTCATACCAAAAATGAAAAAAACGCGGTATAAACAATTTCCATATCTTTAGTGGTTCAGACAGACCCTTGAATTGGTTGGTTGCAATTGCATATTATAATGCAACCGCTAGGCTATAATGGGTAGATGTGGTGAAATGAGCATCATGACCTGAGTTAGTTCCATCAGTGTTCTAGTCGGAAGGTGGCCACTATAGCTATAATATCGCCGAGCTTAAGAATTTCGATTAAACTTTTTCATTAGATTTAGAAGTTTAACGACGATTTTTGTCAGATGACCTTACTCTTACTAGATGATGCATGGTGATGGTTTATGTTTTTGGTTATCGCCGCGGCCAGCTTGCCCCTCGTTTTTTGCCGTCCTAAGCGGTGCATTAGTGGGCTATGATAGCGCAGCTTGGGCACGATAAGTTCGGGTCTGATTAGAATCGTATGATTTTCCCATTATTGTGATATTGTGTTATTGGCAGCGATGGAGTCGGGGTGTGATCGATGAGGGACATTTTTCCTTTGAGAAAGATCAATATCAGTATCACTAAGTGGACCGTGGTTTATTTTGCGCTGAGTCCGTTATTATATCAATCTGATTTAGCTTGAGCTCAAAAAAGTGAGTAATATGGTTTCCAAGATCCGCCAATACAAAAAAGGAATTGGAATAAAAACTTGTTGTTTTTTTTTGCGCAGCTTGCTCGAATACTAGTACTACCGAATACAATTACTTGAAGAATTTTGGACAACTTGCGCAAAAAATATAGTTTTTGGATGAGTTTTAATTTAAAAAATAAATGTTGGGTGTCTCTGTGTCTGTTTTTATTTTGTGCCTGTTCTCGGACACTATAGTTCAAGATTGATGTCCTGAGGGGATGATGATTAATCACTCTACACTCGACTGTCACTTGACTTTCTAAACCCGTTCTCTAGATAGCGCTGATTGACTTTTCGAAACCCTAACCCTAACCCTAACAGAATCCCTAACAAAAGCATTTGCTAAAACCCTAACCCTAACGAGAAATTAGTCCAACGGCAACTTCCTTATATGGTCATATCACGTGATCGAAAAAAAAATTCGCCCATATCTCGCCACTGGAGTATTTAAACGCATTTTAAATACCACTCGGCTGATTTTAGTCGTATTCCACAGTTCTAAGAGTAAACATTCTATTATTCCGAGATTCTTCTAGAAATATTGCATATTTCCTTGTATTTGCTTTGTAGACTGTGGTGCTAAATTAAGCGGGTTAATTACACTTTTATGAAACTGGACACATTTCCTTTGAAACCTCTCGCTGAGCAGTGAGCTTGTTCAAATATGCAGAGCTTCTTAATAGTCAAATATGTATAAGCTTGTCTTACTTCTCGAAAGTCTAATCTAACCATTGATACATGCACCATGATTAGATACATCATTATAATCATTGTACGGAGTGTGCGAGATATATAGTGGAACTGTGTCGGAAGGTCAGGCACTCTGTCAAGAACACTTTAGCGGCCCTTTCAGTTCAGTTCGACGATAAGATTTGCTCATTTTAGCGGCTCTTCTAGTGCATTTTAGGGGTAAGAATCTGCTCAAATTTATTTTGGTGGCTCCGAGATTCAGTTTAAATTTTGTTCATTTGGTTTTGTATTTTTCATAATCTTCAATCTTAAAAGAACGTCTTATTGAGCAATGAATGATAGTCATTATGATTTCGAGATGCATTGTGATTCCGTTAATATATTGAATAATATTGACCAGTCTTTCATATTTTAGTAGAAGTTTAATGGCGCATATTTTTAGAATTCATCTTGCATGACACAATCTTCTAATTCATGTTTTAAATCTATCGAGTCGGATACTAGTTTGTCACTGTGACTACTCACTGTATGTGCAATTTTCTTAAGAAAATTAGAGTTTTTTCATAATCCTAATGTACTAGTCGAGATCCGAATCCGAATCAGGGGATGGACTTTCCAAAACGCTGATTTTGATCTTTTTACTCCTTTCTTTTCTTTTTAAATAATGTTGCTAGCAGTGTATCACAATCTCTGCATATTTTAATTTTGAACCGCGATTTAAGGTTTTCTCTGCCATTTGACAACAACAGTTCCACTATGTAGGTAGTCATTTTCAAACAATAGTCCCTTTAGAAAAAACTCATTAAATCCCGAGCTCACAATTGGCTAGCTCTGAGTCCACATAATGGGCTCCTGGACTAAATGTATTCTCTCTCTCTCTCTCTCTCTCTCTCTCTCTCTCTCTCTCTCTCTCTCTCTCTCTCTCTCTCTCTCTCTCTCTCTCTCTCTCTCTCTCTCTCTCTCTCTCTCTCTCTCTCTCTCTCTCTCTCTCTCTCTCTCTCTCTCTCTCTCTCTCTCTCTCTCTCTCTCTCTCTCTCTCTCTCTCTCTCTCTCTCTCTCTCTCTCTCTCTCTCTCTCTCTCTCTCTCTCTCTCTCTCTCTCTCTCTCTCTCTCTCTCTCTCTCTCTCTCTCTCTCTCTCTCTCTCTCTCTCTCTCTCTCTCTCTCTCTCTCTCTCTCTCTCTCTCTCTCTCTCTCTCTCTCTCTCTCTCTCTCTCTCTCTCTCTCTCTCTCTCTCTCTCTCTCTCTCTCTCTCTCTCTCTCTCTCTCTCTCTCTCTCTCTCTCTCTCTCTCTCTCTCTCTCTCTCTCTCTCTCTCTCTATCTATCTATCTCTCTCTCTCTCTATATATCTCTCTCTCTCGCTCTCTCTCTCTCTCTCTCTCTCTCTCTCTCTCTCTCTCTGATGAAGCAGTGCTGCCTGTGTCCCCTAAAAGGGATTGCAGTTGGTTCTTTTGTTTTGAAATTAAAAGGCCTACAGTGAAACCTCGAATTCCGGGCCAAATAAAGCTCCGATTGTATCGCATGTTTCAGCTTCATTGTGTCCCCTGGAGCGAGGTACGCACTTAAAGTTGATACTTTTTGTGAGTGCGATCTCGCATCTTTTGTTATCGTCAATGTTGCCGGTCCCGTACTACTCTTTTCTTGCAGCACTTTAAAGCATCATCCTTTGTACAGTTATCATATGGGCTTCGCTTCTTGATATTGTATTTAATCTCGCAGTCAAATATGTGTTGATACGACGGGGTTGTGTTTTACTTTTAGTTCCTTACTTGCCAAGTTTCCTGATTTGTATATTTCATACCTGTATCAGATACTCTAAACCAAATAGTCCTGACTATTGACTCCTGATATTAGTACTCCCGATATTATTAAGTTCCTGATATTATTACTCCTTATATTAGTAGTCACCAGATACTATAATTGTACCACTGTTATCCGACTGTTGCACAGATTCTGTAATGTGTATTACTTCTTCTTACAAGAGTCCTCCAAGTCCAAATAATGGGTGAGATTTTAGCAGCCTTGTTTTATACTGGTTTACCTTTTTCCCCTTTCGTTAGTCAAAATAGGTAACTAATTTTTCGATAATTGTCTTAGAAATAGAAATGACGTTGATTCTAAAAGATAAATAATTCTAATTATATACTTATAGCACACACATATCATGGCAATACGTTTAACTTACGAAAGTTAAACATCTGCCTTGTTCACTTCAGTAAATCCCATTTGTAATTGTAGAGGCGTAAGCTTAAAACAAATGCAAACAAAATCGAAACTGAAAATTACCAAATACAACTAAAATGAAGCAATATGAAAACTACAGATTTCAATAACCAAACAAACCTAATTATAAGATATTCATAAAACCCTGATCACACATTCTTGCAGGCAAACATCGCCCCAGATGGAGTCCTCCCAAATGGACAGGTCATCTTCAGATACGTTCAACAGGTAAGGAATATTCTAAATTAAAATTACACTTACAGCATCGTTTCAAAATTAATGAGTTCCATGCAACGAGAAAATGTACCAGATCAATTATCGTTTGATCAACCATTTCATCATAATTTTCAAATCAGGTCGAATGTGACGGTGGAGACAGTGCCGAGACCCGTTCAGATTAGTGAGCTGATGGAGAATGGGCTGTTTTACACGAGCACAGGAGAGAAAGCTATTCCTTCCCAGGTTTGTTCTTCATATTTGTTAGTGTTCTCTGGATATTTGTTATGTAGTTTTCCCAGCTTTGTTCATTTCTCCAAGATGTTCGAAGTTACTCAGCTGATACTGTGAAAATTAGTTCTTTTTGCCCTAGCAATATTGGATTTTTTTAATTCAAAAGATGTTTGTTATTCTGATAACCGTACTATTCAACACACCATCCCTCCAGATAACAAGGCACACATCCCAGCAACGTGTAGAGCCGACCCCTAGTTTCTACTCCACCTCTCACCTGCAGCCGTCACGTGAACAAATATCACGTGACCCTCACCAGTATCCTGCTTACGTGGCTACCCCTCAAGTACTATATAATCCTGCTACTTTTGCTAGGGAGATGGAGCTGTCTTCCCACAATGTAACGCACGTGCAGCGCGAGGTTGTGCAACCTGTGCGCGTCCCCGTTGTCAGGGATCTCACGCATCTATCACGTGATGTCACTCATTTATCGCGTGACGTCACGCAAATACCGCGCGAGCGGGTGCAACATGATATCACGGAGTTTATCAACACTTCTTATCATGGTCCGAATACAATTCCTTACTTTCCTACCACATTGCCGCCATCAGAGGTAATGAACGAAACACTTTCTACTATTACTTGTTAATTTGGTGGTTACCTTAGAGTTCAGAACGTTTGTCATATTATGAGAATCGTGGTTCGAATTTTCACTGTATTTTTACTTTATATAAATAGTTGAATAAATTACTCTTATCTTTATAATCGATATCTGGGATAACTGCAACTGACCAACAAGTGATATCTACGGAGTCGGAGTACTTCAAAATCACCACAACCCCTAATTACTTAATTAGTAATTACTACTAATTAGTAATTAATCCCTGATCCTCTCTCAGTTATTAGATCAGAGATACAGCATGAGACTAGGTCCCCCAACAACCTTGTATCCAGAGTGTCAAACTCCCGGCTTCCAAAACGTCTACCCTCACCAGATCAATCCTCTCCAGCACACAGCCCGACCTCCTCAAGTGCTGCATACGGTATGTTGATTTAGCATCTTTTAGTCAGTTTATTGACCTGAGTGATATCGGGATTTGAAAACACAAACATGCCCCACAAACGTGCCCCACAAACGGACCTCACAAGCGTGCCCCACAAACGTGCACCATTTCCCCACCAAATAAATGCTATACCCAAGTGTACCTTCTTTGTAATCTTCTATGTTGTTTTTTATGAAGTCTTTGGGGCTTGATGACTTTGATGGCGGTATACTTTAAACCTCTAAAGGAGAACTGTCCGACCCTGCAGCTGTTTGAAATTTACCGAATAACGTCTAGTCCGCTGTATCTCAATATTATTCGTTTCAGGCTCCAAGTGCAGCACCATACATCGAACACCTGCACGTTGGCAACTATCTGAGATATCTTGAAGAAGATCATGTGTATTACGATTCTAACAGAGTCAATTAAATGATTACATAATTAAGCAGCTAATTGGGTATATTTTCTCGAGGATCATGATCTCTGATTCATTTCTGGTAGGTTCAGATAAACCTGAATCAATGGGCTCAATACATTTACAGAATATAATTAGTGAACAGTGAGTGATCAGGGAATTCTTTTTGCAGTTTTATTTTTGTTCTATTCAAGATTTCAAGAGACTGTACAGCAAGTACGTGATTTACTGTCCCGTCAATTTGACGGGTATTTTAACTTTTTGACAGAGGCTAATTGATTGAAATTCTGTTTAATGTGTAATCAATGTTATATTTATTTCAACTGTTTGAGATTGATGGATTTCGTAGTAATGAAATTAAATTTGTTTCAGATGTACTACTTATTGTGCTTACTTTTAATGACACTATTATAATTATAAATCATATACAGCTTGTTTTCGTTGTTGAACGGTTTCAAGTGTTCAAAAACCTTAAGGGGGGGGGGGGGAGGGGTTTAAAGGGACACCCTGCTTAACAAACTTTTAAATGGTTTGGTTTGACAAAATGGAAAAATGATATTGTCCCATTTTCAGTTTTTGTAGACGAAAAAATGGGACAATAAACGAAAATGTTTTCCAGAAACCAATTAGTCTGTCAACTATCGATGGAATATGAGTTATGACATAACTGAGGTGTCGGAAGTTTGTTTCTGGTCCGAGGAAGCTTATTACAGAAAGCTTTACAAAAGGAAAATTCAGATTTTACAAATTCTGCCCCATTGTCAACTATGAAAATTTCCGAACAGAAATTTGACAGATTTGGTGGTTCTTTTGCCCAGTGACCAATTTCCCTGCAGTTAGCTGAAGATGGTATGAGACCAAATTGAGGTACTGGAAGTCAAAATCCCGGACAAAATGGAAAAGTTCCAAGTCTGACCGCACTGGCCCTTGGGCAAAGTTTTCTCTCAGTTGCTGCTACTTGTTAGGGATATCATATTATCAATTGACATAATTTGATAATTATAGCTGCGCACTGGCACTAGTGCAAAATATTTTAATATTCCATCTCAATCTCATCATTCATGGAGCTGCAGCTAGTTATTGTATACTGTGGTACTGATAGTGGTACTGTTTAACATGGATAAATCTTAGCACTTATAGTCATCTCTCTAGATACTGACACTCACCATATAGCGGTGCATTAGTAATAGTTTGTAGTTTAGTGCACGAGTTTGTAAACTGTAAAGATTTTAACTATAATTATATAAAATGAAGATCGCCGTTTAGGCTTAGCGGGCATGGTATTGTTAAGTTGACGCCTCCCAGCTTGTACAATTACATATTGTTCAAGTAAAAGCTTGCTACACGTTGTATGCCTCTCGTGCACGCCGCCCCGCGATCAAAAGGGGTTACAGCGTGTGTCAAGTAAAAGCAATACCTACTGATGATCTGCAACAGGATTCTAAACTTGAGTAAGAGAGTCAAAAGATAATTCTGGTAGTGCAGTACTACTACTACCAAGGTTGAAGTGCCATGAAACTGGTTGCAGGTTGGGACTTGGGCCTGAATAGAATAGACGACATTGACAATTGACATTATGATAGTTTTTAAATTCTCCACGCTCTTTACGCTGCTATTTGCTACCCATATATAATATAGAATAACACAATACATTTTATCGTTGAATATTATTGCATCGACCCCAGTGTTACCTGGGGACCCCAGGCTATAATGTTCATAAACATTAGAATAGAGATTCGGCGGAATGACAGGCTGAGCGCCGCCCAGTAACCCCAGCGCTACATTTAAAGGCAAAATCTCTCACAGGTCGTTGTCAATGACAACGACCTGTGAGACAATGTCATACCCATTCTCATCGGGCGATAAGCAGTCCAACGTCAATGCAGTAATCGTCGTTTAACCTTCTTAAAACACTGACATTACAAATACAATAATATCATCGTGTAATGGACTTTATAGTCTAATACAATAACGCGAGTGGTTTAGACTTAGAGCAATGTGTTTTAAACGTTTATTCAGTGAGTTGCTCTTTCTCTCATAGTCGTATTGTACAGGGGGGGGGGGGGCAAAAGTCAGTGTACATACGTTGGCCTTTATATATAGCTCAGTCACTGAGTGGCGAGTGCCCGATTCTTTGTGGTATGATTTACTATCACCACTCATTTAATGTTTTTAACAAAATCGGTGCCATGCTAGAAGCGTTTCCAATCTAATTGTATCCACATACCACATTAACCATGTTTTTACGGTACCGCGACAATTGACCTCCCGACAATTGACCCCCTATTTAATTACACTGGGGTCAATTGTCGCGAAATCTAGGGCTTAGTACGACAAATTGTCGGACAATTGACCCCCCGCCAATTGACCCCCCGACAATTGACCCCCATGCGATTACACTGGGATCAATTGATCTAGGGCTCAGTACGACATTTGACCCCAACCATTTTTCAGCTGCTAGTAATAATTTAGGAAAACACCATTTTTTGGCCATATTTCATCATTATACTTTAGTACTACATATATATAATACATTATATTTACAAAGTCAAGTCAATGATCCCCGTGATTTTCAAGTCACGTGGTTTTAAGTCACGTGATTTCCCCGACAATTGACCCTCCCTTGTCAATTGTCGAGGGGTCAATTGTCGCCCACCCGTTTTTACCTATTAATTAGTATTACTATTATATTAGATTTACTTTTGCAATTTTATTAGCTTAAAGTTGAAAGTTTGACCAATGAAGGCCTGCGAACGCCGTGATATTCCTTTGTCGCCTGGCAGAAGAAGGTGCATAACAGTTTCATTCCAACTCAAAATTCCCTATGAGAGTCAGGAATGTATTGTTGATTCTCATAGTCATTATTTTCTTTGATGAGGTGGCTACTGCTGATGATAAAGGTAGGAATTATTTAATCTGTATTGCATTTGTTATACTCTTATAATAGTTATAATTATATCTGTCCATTTCAAGACGCGAAATCGAAATAATTTTCTGCAAGTGATCAAAATTAAAAGATGGAAACCAGAGAAAGGATCGTAAAAGAAGCTGAAGAATACAGTAAAACGTTTTACAGGCTGGGTAGTAGTGCATCGTGACGTAAAGACCCGCCACGACCTAGGAAAACACTCCTCTTAAGATTAAAACAGACAGTACTTCTGGAAATGAGGAGGTGGTTCAAGTGGTGTTTTTCAGCCCACGAAAAAAGCTTGCAGGGGGTTTTTACATCCAGTTCTCCTCTCCTCCAAAGTATAAAATCTTCTCCTGCAACGCACTTTACACTGCTTTCCCCTCTTCCATTCCCAGCGAAATTGACAAGACATGGACAATCGCGCTAAACTACCTGGACCCAAGATTACATTGCATTGCAATGGGGTAAATGTTTTTGATATACTGCTGTCAGGCGAAACGTGTGACATTCAAAAATGGAGAAATGTTTGGAATAGAGAAGCAAAATTGATTCGATTCAATTCCGAAGACAGTGCCTCTGATTACTACTACAAACCCAAACCAGGTATAGTACTTGAACATCAACTTAAATTAGTCAATAAAGTTATATCTTTGATTTTAGACATTTTGAATATTATATGTGTGGCATCATACTGATATGATGAGCCCTTTATGTAACTATGATTGTAGCCTCTTATTTCACAGTTTGGTCCGTTTAAAAAGGGCCGATTTTGCAAATAAAAGGATTTAAGTATACGATATCGTGTTTAACTTTAATTTGCATTTTTGACTAAGTAATTTGACCCATTTCCGGCACAGACATTGGATTCAATAAAAATTGTCAAACTAACGAATGTATAATTGGGCTGGCTAACTTTTACTTTTCAGAGACAGGAGAGATTACTACTGTTCCAACACCAAGTGTACCTACCGATTCCAGTAATACTGTGGAACCAACTGAAACAGAAGTCAAAGCTATAACTGATGCCGATGGATGGGTGGCTACTGCAGAAGGTGATTAATTTTCGATTTACTCTTAAATTAAAGTAGCTTTGGTTCATTCTCCAAGTTGCACTCCGTTCAATGTTCATATTGGACCAAAATTTCGTCTAAAAACAATAAGTTCTCAGATTCCCTGTTTATTTTCATACTCGATCCGAATTCACAACTTCACTGGATAGAGAGCAGGGATGTCTCCGATAACTCTAATTGTTTTTTTGGGAAAATTTGTGGGATTCAGAATTTCTGTTGATCCAACAACATAATGTAAATTACATTTTCTTTGATCTCTGTACGCTCCGACAGTAAATCAAGTTCAAATGCGACTCATAAATATAGCCCCCTTGAACTATTTAGCTCCGACAGGTTTGAGGCTTACTCGGCTGATCTAATGAACACAAAAAATCGACTCGAATCCAAAGAAGCACGCCGGTGTAAGAGCAGCCAATTTTGTTTTCTATTTCCGGTTGCAAATCTAATTAAAATCATTTCAGCCCCTTTTGAAGGAGGATAGGGAGAGTACGAAGAATGGACTAGTTGTTCAGCTGTTTGTAAAGAAAGGACAGGAACACGAACAAGGACCAAAGTATGCACCGACTCTGCCTCAGCGCACGATGAAGCTAGCTGTCAGGGACAAAGGACCGAAATACGACCGTGCAAAACTGACCAGTCTTGTCCAGGTAATATAATTAGGTAGTGCGCCATCGACAGTGAGCCGCGCGTGCCGACTGTAGGATGGTTTTTTAGCGCTAATTTCGGCCAGCACAATTTTCTTCAAACAAATAGATATTAGTTAGATATTAGTTAGATATTAGTTAGATATATTGAGTATCCTTCCCGACCTCCAATTGCAACAAAAATTGGTAAGCTTACTCATAGACTTACAAGAAAAGTGTCCGAAAAATTTAAAGCATATCCAACCATCAGACATTATGTTACAGCTAAAAGCAGCGTATTTTGCCCCATTTTGATCACTATATCAACTCCGATATCCACCAAATTTTTCGGACAGTTGTGAAAGCCCTATTGAAAGGTCGTCGCCAATTTTTAGAATGATCTCATTTAAGGAACTGAAGATAAATCCGAATAATACGACAAAAATGGTCAAATTTGGACGAATTTGGTCAAATTACGCGACTTTTACAGCTACTTTTGCTCCAAAAGCCGCGCACCATCAAATATGGCACCTAGGCGAAACTCGCTGATCTTTCCAAAAAGGTATGACAAATTTGGTATTGTGAAAATTCTCACAGTCTCTAGAAAACAGTGGTACAAAAATTTTTAAAATCCGAGCAAGTTTATTTTTATCGTGCACCCCCTAATATAATCCCACTGCTATACATTCACAGTTTCATATGATTCGTTGGTCGTTAATTGGTATTCTTTGGGAAAGAGTGCCAATTAAAGATCATCTTTTCGCACTTTTACCAAGTTCGTAAAAGCTTGGAAATATTTACTTAAATTTGTTAAGCAATTATAAAATTGTGGTATTACTATTAATCAATTATTTGGGCACCATTAATTGAACAATCAGCATACATTTTCTAATCTAACTCCAACTTATGATGACCAATCAACGTGGATGAGACCCGTGAAGCGTAGTATAAGTTCAGCAGTTGCTGAACAAACTTGTCACCTCTCCACTCTCGGTCAGACATTGATAAGATAAAATGGTAAGAGGAAGACAGGCCTCCCCTATATGCAATACGAGTTCGGAAGCGGGGATATTGCCTTTTATTTCAAAGTACGTCTCGGCAAGGCAGAATGACTTTGTCATACGTTGTATGACCCGCCGCGCACGAAGTGCGCGGCTCCCCCTGTATCGTCACTATAGTGAAACGACCGTAGGGGTCGCAACGTGATACAAGAATGACTCAGGCCGAAAAGTCAAAAATTATAAAAGTTTTAGTCAAACATTTTTAAAATGTTTTAAAACTTTGTCCTAGCCTGGCGCGCGCTACTTTGTAGCACTTGCCTCGGGCCACTTCGAAGAAATTTAGACGAGTAACATCCGTCAATAGTTAACGGGTGATATTCGTAAAATATCTGTTCCAAAAAAATTTCAACATTACAACTTATATATAGAGTAACATCCTTGATTGACGATGTCAATCCGTCGAGATCGTTGCTCTGCGAAGCAGAGCAACGATCGTCGACGATGCGTAGCAAGAATGCTAGTTCGCGCGGCGCGTCGAAGTCCTCCAAGTAACATCCGTAACATACCGTCAATTTTTACGTCATGGGGGTGATTCGGAATCGGCGTCCAAAAATACATCGATTTAGATCAATGTCATACCCAAGCCGTTCACATAGCCATGTGTATACGCGTACTGCGTGACGCGCTTGTTTCACAAGTTGAATATACAATATATATCCTTTGCCGCCTTCGGCGGTCGCGCGCTACTGCAAGTGAGAGGGCTCTGGTTAGAGCAACCCAAGCCGCGATCAATGTCATACTCGAGCTGCGATGAATTAACATCGCATCGTCAATTAAGCGGTATGTCCTAATATAAGTAGATGGCCCCTTGTATTGACATACGTTGCATGCCACTTTTCGCGCGCGCCGCCGATACGAAACATGTATCAAATGGCCCCTTAAAAGATCCCACAGAGCGAACTGCGACCACCGGCTGACCAATTTACCCGAAGCCGCCTCGGCAATTACGGTTAATTCCTAACGACATTCCTGGCGACGGGAACCTCGGAGAGAACAACTACAAACTATTATTCCTCAGTTCTCGCTGCTGCAAATTTACTATGTGTTGCGATCAAGTCACCAGTAATCTCATGCACTAGACTGTTCACTGGATAAGCGATACAATTATCTATAATAATCTATCATAATAGGGTGGTTTTCATAGATGACCCTGCTGCCTTGCAGCTAAACAACGTAAAGTAAAAGTAAGCAAATTAACAAATCCACAAATAAATAACGACGCGTAATTAATTAAATAAACACGCGCAACACGCGCGCGTAACGTCCGTGCGTGCTATGCTGAATTTATACGATAATAGCTATGCGTCCTCCAACTTTGAAGTTTCCACGATTTGATCACAACACGGAAGCAGAATCACACAGACGTTCGGTGTAATGGTGTAAGGATGCTATCAATAACAATCAACAGATATAAACAATCCATCAGTCGTAATTTAACTACGAGTCCACATTAAACTTATTTACATCATATCAAAATCTCGTTTTTACCGCCATCTAAATACCCCGCATATTATTAAACTATAAAAGTATGAATCTAACGCTCAATTTGTTGTTAAAAATGGTTATCGAGAAACCATTTTGCACCGTTGCAACGATAAATTATAACATCGATAAGATTCCACTCACATGTCAACTGACGGGGGGCTCAATTTATTAAAGCCTGTGACAGCAATTAACCGATTAAACCTTTCTACGAGTCCCTAAGTTTATCTACTATCAAATAACACAATCATTTGCCATCGTACAGCAAAAGCATATGCTACAAGAATCGATAAAGGAGTATGGTTAAGAATGGAAGAAGCCTCCTGAAAACCTCTATGGATAAGAGAAAGAAATAAAAACACGTAAAAATTCAAGGCCCACAAATAGTGCCGGGCCGAGGTTTAACGGCTGGTCTATCTTTAGCAACAGGCTGAGTCCTCCTCCTTAGTTGGGGTGAAGTTAACAACTCTACATTTTTATTAGCACCCGTCAACACGGTGTTGGAACTGCGCGGAGGTGGTAGTGGTGACGATGGCAAGGATGCTCGAGGGCTACAACTTTCCTGCGCCTGGGTAATGGGGCTGATAAGAGGTTATGAAAGGTATTACAAATATTACAAATATTAGGGGTTTGATTTTACTACCGCTGATCTGTTATCATCTAGATTCTACAATGTAATTATATAGATATATTTTTGTAAAGCTTGAAAAAAGAAAGCCCCACATGACATAACATTGACCTCTAATAATCTCAAATACTGCTGTATCATTAGAAGTGTAAGAAAAAAAGGCATACATAAAAGCGAAAAGAATGCGTAATAATATGAAACATAATATATTGCTGTCCCGAGAATGCATTACAAATCGATCATATCAGCATAATCAGCTATTATTACTTAAGTGATTGTTAGTTCATTATCTTGATCCTGCAACTGATTGGTGTTCCTTAAATTGACATAAAGAAATATTAAACAGCATATAATTGTGTTGATGATAATTGACACTTGACACTGAATACTGTACTAACGCGGAAATTACTCAAGGTAGCTTTGTAATTTGTAACTTGATTCTGCAAATTTGTAAGTATTTATAAGTTTCTGTAAGTATCAACACAGGCGATGTATTTTTATAGGAAATATTACGATGGCCAAAATACATAGTGATAAGAAATGTAAGAAAAGGAATTGTGCCATCCCAACAGTATAAACAGTAAACAGTAATAAAACCTACTTTTTTCCCGCAAAAACTACTTATTTAAAGTGAGAGTATTTTAAGGAAATGACCGTTAATTTCCCGGTAGTAAGTGATAGTAAGATTATCGTACCTCTAGTCGTTGAACACAGCCTCCTAGATGATCCAGCTTGTTCTGCTGTTCTATAATAGTGTGCTCCTGATGTTCCACAGTTTGCTGAGATTGCGCCAGCTGCGCACGCAGCGCTGCAATCTCCTTATCTTTTGTGAGAATCTCCCGTGATTGTACTTGGTATTTTATCATTTTTACCGTGAATAAATTCTGAAAGGTTTGATAATATCATCAAAGCAGTGTCCTTCTAAAATGAATGAATAAGAGAACAGATTATTAGAATGTTTCTATTGAGTTTACTAGAAATAAACCTGACTAAGCATTAACATAAGATGAGAGTTGAAGAAACATACCTTAACAATTAACATACCTATTACCCAGAAACATACCTTAAGCTCGTCCGGGTCAATATTTTCTAAATCTAAATCTTCTTGATCTTCTTCCTCCTTGTCAGCAGGAAACAGTGTCTCGTGGTTCAATATCATCATCTGAAGAGAAGATATAATCTAACTTCACCAAACACGAGTTATATCCTGTAATATCCTGTAAACTTTTAGTAGTAATAATAGTTCCTAAACTACATATCATAATAAAATACTATTGAACGTTGAACATTTTACTGAGTAAGACGACACAGTAATAAGCTAGTAGAGCTACTTACAGAACAGTGGCGATATCATGTGTAATGAAAATATTGCAATATAGTGTTAACTGTTAAAACTATTTACTCAATCTCCGAGTTCAAGTTTCAACCAAATACCATATAATATTATGTAATGCTACTATTCAATAACTACACCGTGGTCAGATCATACATACCCCAGAATACCACAGAATATCACAGAATACCACATACGTCATACCATAGATTACGACAGAATAACACAGAATATTACATAACACATACCTCTGTGACTTTTTTAAGTTTCTGTATATCTCTCATCTCTAGATCAAGGTTGCCACTGTTGTTTTTGAGGATTGTGGGTGAAAATACTATGGCTAAGTTGTTGAGGTCCATCCTGTTGGAGTCTGAGTAAGTCTGCACTTTGAACAGGAACTCACAAAGTCTCTGAAAAGCGCGGGGGATTCTGTGATTCAAAATTCAAATTTTCAATTCTGTCATCATAGAATTTCTATGATGACTGTTTGATTATCTGTACATTTTCACAAAGAACGCACAGTAATCTGGGAATTGTTTGTTGGATTGACACTCCTCTGAACAGTTTCAGCACAGTTTTGATAACATTCTTTTAAATTAGTAAAGAAACTACACGGAGTACAAGTTCGCTACTTTCAGTCACACTTCAATACCTCTACAAGTAACATTAAACCAGTGAACTGTAACTCTTGACTTACAGTCTTGAAACACACAGCATATTTTACTATAGCGAGTTCAATTTTATTCTCTGACGAAAGCAATTACGCTATTACAATTCTATTCGTACAATTTATCAGAACTCTTAAAAACACAACAGTTTACACTATGAACTACAGTCTAAACTAAGTTAAATTGTTGTAACTGTATGGAAGCTATCTAAAGAGTGTAGTGTAAGCCTCCTGATGTCCCTACTATACATTATAAACTATACATTATACATTATACATTATGCATTATACATTATACATTATACAATATACATTATGCATTATATTTTTATATTACGTGTTGTTGAAAGACCTTCGAACGATCAAAGATGTACCTCATCACGCCAAGCAGTTATGCTTGTAGGTTAATATACACTTATAGAGTACAACAACGTTATAACACCATTATACATTATACACTATACACTATACACTATACACTATACATTGTATTTTTGTAACACTCCCTACTGACCCTGATACAGTTGTAGGCTGAGCAAGGTATTCTGTTGATCAGGTACCGTAACTCGTTCAACCCTTCTTGCTGTAGGAATAGTAGAGATAAGAGAAAATGTACCATTCATCTTGATATATCTGTATCATATCAAACAATTAATTAATTAATTAAACAATCCATCTACCTGGTTCAGCTCGTAGGTAAGAATTATAGCCACAAAATCCTCATACAGCGAGCTGGGTATCACTGAATCAGGCAAACTCCGGAGATACAGTTTCAGTAAACTGCCAATAGTGTGCGTATCTCCCTTTGCTTCTAGGTTCGGCTCCATTCCTTCTTGGAATTCCATCTTAAGCTGCTTTACCTGGAGGAAAGATTTGGTAATATTTTAGAAAATATCGTTGCATCGCAAAAATTCCTTTCATAACTAAAATACGATCAAAGTTAAGCCTGGTTGAATATCACCAATTATAATAGTTATACCAATATTTGCGGTATTTATTGAACTATTGTAATAATAAATCCTCTATTGAGTTACATACCATGCTTACACCTAGATTATGTATCGTAATTTGATACAACCAACATAATATATAATATGTACATACTGTGGACTGGAATCGCATATTACGTAATCTTACTTGCCTTAAAGTTATATAATAGAATACTGACTCATATCATAAGTGTCGGATAACCATCCAAATGAACACAAAAGTAAAAGTGAGTCTCCAACGCATTCCACACTGAACACATTCCACACTGAACACATTCCACATATACTTATACTCACGGTCTTCTCGTTTCCTGGCAACCTGAATATTCCATTCTCCTTCAGCCTGAAACTGTTATCAAGATACCCGATACACTGGGATATGATTTTAGGAACGTTTCTTCCTCCGTGGAGCTTTTCTCTTTTTACAGTCACCTCAATTGAAGAACCAAACATCCCACCTCCAAACGGGCCGTAACTGAAATCGGAAAGGTTTTGAAACTTGACTTTGTGATTTGTTGGCGATCATTCAATTTGGCGATCATTCAATTTGTCGGCGATCACACGAATTTGAATTTTTGAGCATATTTTCATCCGCATAACACGTTAGATCCCCTAATTTCAAGATAACTTAACATTACTGGGATAATAGACACACTAACATGAACATATTATTACTGAAATAGCAACACCGGGTTATATATACATATTATATGTACATATAACGATAGACCACCAAAGGTTAAAGTAACATTCCATACCTGATACATGATATGGCATCCACCCATTTCTCACGTTCTGTTTTGGTTTCACAGCTAAAATTGTAAGAGCTCTCCTTGTCCGTTAGCTCAAACTTGAAGCCGTGGTCCGTGTCCGGATTCTGTACTATCTTCTTACCTGTAATTACAGCTATAATAAATATCCTGGTGAGTTAAACAACTGAAATCTAATCTTCTGAAAGATATAATAGACATCCGTACCTACAGTTATGTAATGGCAATATCATATTTCCTTAACAATTGTTTAGGAAAATAAAGCTCTCTGTCTCCAGATATGGCTTTTTTAGCAGCAGCTATTATTATTCGCTTACCAGGTAGATCAATGATGCCTAACGATGGATTACTATTATCATCCTTCTTGAAATAGGACAAACTGTTGCCAGATACCACCACCCATCTTCTCTCATACCTCCTTAAAGTACCTGCACAAATAAGGGCCTCATAATTTTAATATTTTCAAATTTAATATAAAATTATAAAACATAAAATTTAGAACAATTAATCACATTGAATTTCGGCATTAGCAGTGACAATTTAAAATGTATTTTGACACCATACCATGTGTTTCTTTCTTCAACCATCCAGTAGTGATATTAGCCATACTCATTGCAATTCTCAGTTACAAACATGTCACTGTCACATATCTAGAGCCATGGCTATTTATTAAGAAATATATTATCCTTTTAGTAAAAGATTTGTAGATCTGGTTACTGGTTACTGGTGAGAAGGTGAACTATTTATGGTTTGTCAAGTGAAAGTGGTCCTTGATTTCAATTGGTTAACGTTGGAAGCTAATTGTTTAAAATTCACTATCGCGTGTCAGAAAGAACATGGTTCACCTAACCAGCCAGTATCCAGATTTATTGAACAACCCTATTTTCGAAAAATGTGCAGATGACTGAAAGAAAGACAGAAAAAATCTGAAATTGATTTGTTTGATAGTTGGGTATTATCAGTGGCGTAACGTAGGGCCCCGCTGACCTGCTGTGCGGGGGGCGCCATCTTAGGGGGGCACCAAATCGTTGTTTGAATGTGGGAAAATTTTGAAAAACTTAACTGAGGTAGGTACTACTACTAGCAAAACTGCGTGTTTTGATCTAGAAACACATTTTTTTAGAGATTTTACCGGCGTATCTTCTAAAATCACCTAATTTGTACAATTTTAGGGAGGGGCGCCAAAAGGGGAGGAAGGCCAAAAGGGGAGGGGGCGCCAACAGAAGGGCGCTTTTTCGGTGGGGGGGGGGGGGGCGCCAACAGTCAATGTTTGCGTTACGCCACTGGGTATTATGAATAATTTCTGAGAGCTAGGCTGTCAGAAACATGTGCAGGAATATATTGGTTATAATCACAGGAACCACTCCAAAAAGTCAATGTAGATCTGATTGGCCAATCCAGCTAAAGCATGTATAGTTTCCCAGGTGGCTTTAAAGCACATTTTAAAGATTTTCTGCCGTTTTAAGAAGGAACTAATATGGTCTAACAGAAAAGAATCTTTATAAGGTACAAAAGATACAGAGCAATGCTGCTCTGTGTTTATTTACGGCAAAAAGGTACGTGAACCAGTGGCGTAACGAAAGGCCCTGCTGACCCCGCTGTGCAGGGGGGCTCCGTCTTAGGGGGGCGCAAAATCGTCGTTTGAATGTGGGACAATTTCGAAAACTTAACTAAAGTACTAGCAAAACTGCGCGTTTTGCTCTAGATACACACTTTTTTAGAGATTTTACCGGCATATTCTTTAAAATCACCTAATTTGTTCAATTTTAGGGAGGGGCACCAAAAGGGGAGGGGGGCCAACAGGGGGGCGCTTTTTTCGGCAGGGGGGCGCCAACAGGCAACGTTACGCCACTGACGTGAACCTATTTCAAAAAGCTCCACTATCTACCAGTCTGGTTCAAAATATCACTTCTAGTCTTCAAGTGTCTTAATAACATAGCCCCTCAGTACTTTCTAGGAAACAACCCGAAACAAGCGCGTCACGCAGTAGGTACGTGAGTGGCTAGATAGATTGTTATTATAATATTATAATATATATAATTTTGTTGTTATGTCGTGTAAGTTTGTGGAGTAGTAGCAAGAAGGTATAGTATACATTTATATTTGTTCTATTGATTATTTATTAATGATTTTATGTAGGGTCGGCACCAATGTAATTATGGTTTTACCACTGTGTTTTGGTTCAGCCGAAATAAATTTTACTTTGATGTTTACATAATGTTTCTCACTCCAGCTGCAGTCTGGTAGTGTTGAGTCTCATGAATATTTTTTAGCTCTCTTTTTCCATGTTTTTGCCCCACAGGAGATATTATGGTCTTTTTTTATTGAATATAACTGTAATAAATTGATGTAAAGTTTATTTGAATTTTGAAATAAAACATCAATCTAAGAGAAGTAGTACTTCTCGTACTTCTCAGAAGTACGAAGACAAAGTTCTAGACTAGATGATGACTTTTATTTGTTGAAAGTTCCTCCTGCTCCTCATTTCAGACGAAAAGATACTGAATTTATGTTTTGTGGACCAAAAATTTGGAATGAACTACCCTACTCAGTGAGACCATTATCATCAGTAGAATGTTTTAAAAATGCCCTAAAGACATTTTATTTCCACCTAGCTTTTGATAAGTTCCAGTCATTTGGTTCTCCTTCCTTTTGAGTGTGAGCGATGGTTATTTTTATAGATGATTTGAGGTGATTGGGATTACAGGTGAATGTAGTTAGAATGAGATTTTGTCGTTATGTGTTCCATATTGTCCCTGCTCTGTATATGTATGATGTAGCTGTCTGATGGTTTAGGTGTGAGGATGAGTGTCTTTTTGCCAAGTCTGCCAGATGTTTCAAAGAGGGAGTTACATATAATGGGGAAATCAAAAAAAAGAATGAAAAAAAATAACACAATAAATAATAATTATACCTAAAAAACAAAAAAGATTTTAACAAATTCAGAACAATTAACAAACCTTTTTTGTAATCAACCTATATTTGAACATAGGATCAGATTAAATACAATTTGCGACAAGACACTTCATGCAACAAGGAGCATATTTTTATTGACAGGACATATATTCTGCCATGCCCACTGTTTGATACAGTCGCGCGCGAAAAGTGGCATGCAACGTATGTCAACCCACTGTCATGTCAGTAATGTGAACTTGTATCACTTGCAGCATAGCAAGTCTCATTAGGTAGTGCGCCATCGACAGTGAGCCGCGCGTGCCGACTGTGGGATGGTTTTTTAGCGCTAATTTCGGCCAGCACAATTTTCTTCAAACAAATAGATATTAAGTATTCTTCCCGACCTCCGATTGCAACAAAAATTGGTAAGCTTACTCATAGACTTACAAGAAATGTGTCCGAAAAGTTTTGTAGCGCGATGCACTACTGGGTCGCGCGCGCGCATCCAATAATGCTTCTCGCAACCACTCGTATGCAGATCGGCGAGATGCGAAGGATTGACATCGTGAATCAAGAAAAGTTTTAAGCATATCCAACCATCAAACATTATGTTACAGCTAAAAGCAGCGTATTTTGCCCCATTTTGATCACTATATCAACTCCGATATCCACCAAATTTTTCGGACAGTTGTAAAAGCCCTATTGAAAGATCGTCACCAATTTTCAGAATGATCTCATTCAAGGAACTGAAGATATATCCAAATAATACGACAAAAATCAACGAATTTGGTCAAATTTGGTCAAATTACGCGACTTTTACAGCTAATTTTGCTCCAAAAGCCGCGCACCATCAAATATGGCACCTAGGCAAAACTCACTGATCTTTCCAAAAAGGTATGACAAATTTGGTATTGTGAAAATTCTCACAGTCTCTAGAAAACAATGGTACAAAAATTTTTAAAATCCGAGCAAGTTTATTTTTATGGTGCACCTCCTAGTCTCATTCAATTTTTAAAATTTACCATGCATATGGTTTACAAAATTCCAAAATATTGACGATATGCGATAGAGATTGTTAAAGACATTAAATCAATCATGAGCATCATTGCGCTACATTATAGCGCGATGAACTGCTGAGCCGCGCATCAAATGATTTTTCTCGCAACTTCGGTAGATTGGCAAAATGCCCCACTCATATCATGGTGGGCCTGGGCCTCGCCGAGCTGCGAAGGATTGACGTCGTGAATCAATTCGCTTCATAATTTTACTCAGCTTTAAACTTAAATGCAATGTAATATATATGTATGATTTGGCATACTTGATATAAATAATTCAGTTAAACAAAAATTTGAATGCAGTGAGTTGCAGCGCCACCCAATCTAGCCTGTTAACGGGTGATATTTGTAAGTTTACAACCTACCAGGACGCGCGACGAGTTGGACTCGTCGACGGTATGGAACAGATATTATACGAGTATCACCCGTTAATACAAATCGACATGTTAAATGTTACCGAGCGTGCTAAATCTGAAATCGCTCTATACTACTAAGTCTACACAGACACTCTACATCTCGATCCGATCTTCGAGATTTTTATAAAAGGGCCCCCGATAGTTGAAGCCAACTGCAGCTGGGATCAATGTATTTTCGAACGCTGATTCCGAATTACCCCTATGACTGCATGACATATACTGTACACACAACACATATAAAACAACTTAATTCTGAATAAATTGATAGTAAATTTATCATTCACCAATCCTTCAACATGACATACAACAATATACAAGATTAGACTAAGACGTATCACTTTTAACAAATTCATGTCGTATCATGGCTTATATTTTAAAATTAAAATATCAGTCACTTAAGAAAATTTCAATACGATATTTTGATACAACTCTACAATAATGATAACAGTCTTAAGATATACTTGGGTAACCTAAATCATCCTATACAGAAGATGATAGATTTTGATAAAATAAAGATAACAAAATTTATTAAGGGCGCCGCCCGGCTCACCTATGATATTTATCGCACTATGTCAAAACATGACAGGCCAATGTGCAACAAGAAAATTTTAGGAGACATCGTTGCACTGCAACATTTCAATAATTTGACAAAACAGCAATTGTTCAGGACCATACTTTCACATTCCGCATATCAACAAGCTTGTGATATGAACAATCTATTGGATCAACACGAATGGTAAAGTAAAATAGTGAAGTAGCGGTCTCTTCATACAAAATAAGCTCACTAAAAACCCTGATCGCGGCCAGACTGTCTGCTCGGTATAATAAATCTGTGTTCGGTAGCAATCTTGCATGAGATGTGGTTGGGACTCTCCAACAGCTGAACCTGGATACAGTATATCTCCTAGCAATAACAACCCCCCTCCGCTGCTGACGGCTCAGTCTTGTCCTTCAGTTTCACTTCTATTAAATCCTCGTTGTTTTTACCGTCATTACCAGAGTCCATTCCAGGTAGGGCTGCCGCTATCCTCTTAAATAGCTGAAATCATGGAATGTTGTTATTTAATAGTTAACCATCGTTAACAAGCACTTGTTTTTAGAGTAGAATTACATTAACATCAAGATCGGTAGTTCCCGCAATCAAACAACGAATAGGTTTTAAAAAGTTTCAATTATTAAAATTATTATTATCAAAATCTCTGAAACATGGGCAGAATATTTTCTGTCATCATCAGTGAATATTTACTAGTCCCTGCATAAAAGTTGGAATAATTTAAGGACCATTAGTTTAATGTACTAACATGTCACCAAAAGAAGTAATGTGTCTATTTTTCAGCGGCACTAGACACGGGGTGCTAGCAATGGGGGGAGGGGTGGGGGATTCCTTTAAATTTTAGTTGTAATAAACATAATTTCCTCTGAGGAACTTCAGAAAAGTCAGAACTCAGATACTTTTTGATAACCAACAACACACCATATCGATCCTATATAAGTACTAGAAAGCCCGTGGTCACAGGGAGGAAGTTAATAGTATTCTGTGGTAGTCAGTTTTTATCGCATCAAAAAATATCCGTCATGACCGAAGATACAGCCGATTAAAATGTAGCTCGCACTGAACACAATGTAATTACCACAACACCAATTAAAATGTCGCTCGCAAATCTTTGCACGTGCGTGTAACCATGGTTACTATGCGACTTCCTATTTCTCATCTGATTTGCACGTGGGCGGTCGTACAAAGATAATTCTTTGAATTATAAGTAAGAAGATAAACTTGACATACAAAGTTTAATTAGTTAATGGTACTACTGCGGCGTGCCTGAGTGTATCGATTATGGAGGATGGCATTGGTTGTGGCTGCACCCACTCACTTCTCTCTCATGGTTTTGTTTTGCGTTGGTTTGGCTGAAATATCACATGTTTCCAATGGCTGATATACAAATAAATATATATCGATCATATCATTGTGTTAACCGTTATTCTGAGAACTGTGCCCGCTCTCAGGCGAGTATTAACTTAGGGATTGTTCACATAATATGACGCAAGCCATTCTGTGGCCATGTTAAACTCCTCTTCCCCTCCCTCGGCCACTTTACACAAAGCTATTATGTGGTAATAAGCTTCTCCAAGCCCCTACCTCTAAACCGGCTTACTTATGCAGTCTTCTAAACCGGCTTACTTATTATGTCTTCTAATTACATGACACTTGTAGTAATCTGTCACGTGACATAGCTATACGAGCGTCACGTGACATAAGGGTTGCCGCGAGGCCCAATAGAGCGTGATTTTAGTATAAATATGCATTTTGTGATATGGTAGATTAGCCATCTGGTCAGTGCGTTGTGTAACTGTGTTAAAAGGAGGTCACTGATCGTTGGTTTGTTTCAAGCACCATGGCCAATTTAAACCGAATGCACTCGGTACAGCCTAACATAGCTTTCTAACATCCATATATCGCCATTCGATTGGATTTTGACCGGGGAAATCATGAAATAATACTAATAGCATCAGCTTGTGCAGCTAGTTCTAATACACTTTTATGCAAATTTTGCTGATATGCCAACGAAATTAACTTGCTCGAAAATAAACAAACATGATTTTGGCCTATCTTTGGACCGAAAATTGGGTTTTAACCGGGTAAAATCAGTCTAATTATCTCAGGACCACTTTTAACGAATTCTACGGTCAAAAATACGGAGTATCTGGAGTCCATAGCGTATCGAGCAGGAACCCGTCTAACCCTAAATGGTGTCAAGACTCAAGAGAGTAAAATAATTATTACCTATTTAGTTCGCGTCGGCCGGGTGGTGTAGTGGTAACACGATCGCCTCCCAAGCAGAAGACCCGGCTTCAAATCCGGTCGGATGCAAGTCGGCTGTGATTTGGTACAGCTTCGGCTTGTAATACACACTCTCTGGCTCGTAGTACTAACCCCCCTACAGCTAGTATAGTGCCTCGGGGCTACCGGACAATTGAACCCAATTTGGACTTTTTCTAGACAGGGTAGCTTGGGAAGATAATTTTAAACCCAATCAGTCTATCTTATTAACTTTGAGGGGTCGTTCACATATCAAGTAATCATTTTTGGAAAATTTTTACCTCCCTCCCCTCCGTTATCAGTTTAACACATAGCTATTGTGTCAAAATTACACTAGCGTAATCATTCGGAAACCCCCCCCCCCCTCAGCTGATTACGTAATATGTGAACGATGTGGTATTTCTGATTTCGGTGGGAGAGACCTACCCTTGTATCTTGTTGTTGCATCTAATTCGCGTTTTTTGACACCACTTGAGGGTCCAAATTTTGGGCACCAAAATTCTTATTCCTTGGCCAGTTTTTTATTTGTTCATGCTGAAGACCATTAAAGCATTTGAACCAGTCAACAAAGTTTCAGTTTTATATCTTTTACGGTTTTTGCGGAACGTCGTGTTAAAGTTGATGCCGTAGTGTCCAGTAAAATGGTACGGATATATCTATATATACCATGTATATATACATTATACCTACATATCGTCTCGCTTTATATATAGTATACATAAGATAGTGATATTTTGATCTCCAATAACACATGCTGCAGAAACCATCAAAATCATTGATCTGTCCTAGCTGATATTCTAATGGCTTTTTAACTAATGAATCATATCGACATATCTACCCTTAGAAACAACGGCCCCCGTACAGTTTTAACTAGTCTCGGCGCACTAATGATCCGTTCCTTTGGACACGTAAGCGGCGAAACGAATGACAACGGTCAGTAGAAAATGACAGCTCCGGGGCCCCCCCGGCCCAGTTACATGAGGCTGACTATCTTTTATTTTGTAGTATTAGTTATCTCTTCTTGTCTATATTTTGACGAGTATAAATCAATAGGCCGTTTATATTATAAGTTTGAAGATCAGCATAATCACCTTACTAAATCGGTTCTTAGTACCCCGTCTTCGTCTTGACAAGAAATTGTTGGTTCTTAAACAAATAGCAGCAGGTCTCCATATAACACGTGCGTTAATTTGAGCGCTAATTTTAACCAACCAGTAATAGTTAAACTAGTCTATATGAAAGGAACTTTCAGAACATGATCACATTTACATGGTCACATTTACAGGACTGTTAGAATTGTCTAAGGAAATGGTTAAGCACGTTTCCAAATCATTCTTGTCGTATTGTATCTTATCTTGGTTATATGAGCCAGAAAGTCGGTAGTAACAATAATAATAACGCTTTATTTGTATACCGCTTAGACCGTATAAGCGACCAATATCCCCAAAGTGGGGTTGATACTGGCCAACAAAGCGGTGCAGATAATTATAGCTTAGTATTCCCATTTCTATTCAAATTCAAATTTATAAATTGTAGATAGTACAGTTAGCTGACGGGTTGTTTTTATTACTCTTTATCACAGAGCTCAATTATTACGGCCGGCGAGGTTGTACCACCCTATAGTATTTAAAGAATGTTCCGATCCGGATATTACACACCCAATAGCATATTTGTCTGAAATATTATTGGCTTATGATTTTGTCCATTAAAAAATACATTTTTTATTAATTGTATTACTGTTGACATGCAGGTATAAGATGGTATTGATATTAATTATCAAACTGACAATAAGTTTGATTATGATGGTACAGCTTTCCCTCGCAAATGTTTTCGGTAAGAAAATTCATAGAATTTTATGAATTATATTTAATGAAAGCACCTAACCCCTTAAATCAGTGAACTAATTCAAATCTGGGGCCATCTACAAAAAACTATAATAGAATTTTTTATTTTACCTGTTTTAACATTAAAAAAATTATATCTCGAAATATTTAAGTTTTAACTTTTGCTATAACCTTTCATGGCTTTTCTAATTGTATTTGTGTCGTTATCCATAAATAATAAATATGCCAATAAAATTCTTCATTTAAGCGACGAACTAATTAACTATTTACACTGACAGTGCCGAGTGGTGTGGAATGGATACCTTTCTCGGTTTCGGAAACTGCCATCGTCCCTACTGATTTCTCAAACTTGGCCGTGGAGCGATTCTACGTCAGGCTCCCTTGCGAAACATCCGTCCATTTCAAGCTCTTCATCCGAGATGATCAAGATGATACGAACGGCCATATTCAGCTTAACTCAAAGGTTTCCCGGCTAGCACTCGTTTTCAGTTTTTTTGGGCCAGCTTGGTTTGTTTTTACGGTTTTGGGAAAAGCGTCGTTTCATTCGCCTCTATTCTCCACTAGGTAAGAGGGAACGTTTACTGTAACGGTGCTGGAGCTAAGAAGCAGTACGGTGGAGAGTTAACTTGGTTTAACATGGATGATGGTGCTATGAAATGTGAATCTAACGGGGTAAACATCATCCTTGTGTGAGTACAAGTTTTGCTATAGCTGCTTTATATTTTTAACATACTTTTAGTATCCATAATCAATATGAGCGGAAACAATAGCTCGTTTCATCGTGTCACCAAGTAGTGGGTACCAGGTAATCATATCTAATTAATTACGATAATCAGGATGGAGAAAACAGTCGACAGGATCACCATCATGAACAAGGGACAAGTTTTGCACAATCAGGCTTTCACTGATAACGACGCATTCTGTCGGAAACCTACAAAATCTATCAGAACACAAGTTTGGAACTACGGAGGATCACTGGATCTCGGTGTCTTCGACAATTCAACTCCTCGTAAGTTCAGAGACAAAACAGATTAAAGTTCATTGTGTCGCTCCAATAACTTCCACACGGCCGCGTTATCATCACAATATCATTATCCTGATTATCCCCCAGGAGAGAAATGTGCCAAGTATCCGGACCACTGGAAAGTGCTCTTTGCTGGAACTGATTTCCCACTGGAGTCTGGAGAAAGTGTGACAGTGCGCTGTGCGGGGGGAGGGAGTGTCACTGTGACTTGTATCAGTGGAGAAACATACGATACAAGTCCGGACTGTGAGTCTGGTGAGTTAAAGGCGGTGTTCTTCAGGGACTTGATAGTCAGTTTTAAATCCTCGCCCAACCCAAATAGCACCCCAAATTCCCCTACCCTATCTATAGAT